TTTGACAGCAGAGAACGAACCACTCAACGGTTTCAGTGATGGATTCCCATTTCAGTGCACAGCCTTCACACCAGAAATGCAAAAAGATTTTATAAAAATGGATCTTGGTCCGGCGCTGCACACTGCCGGATATGGAAATATCAATCTCATGATTTTTGATGACCAAAGACTTTATGCCAACTTGTGGGCCAGAGCCGTAAGTAAAAATTTTATGCCAACTTGTGGGCCAGAGCTGTAGTAAAGACTTTTTGCCAACTTGTGGGCCAGAGCCGTAAGTAAAGAGTATGTTCAAAGTTCTTGTTATCTTGTTTCTTATGGTGGTTGTCCATTCTTGTAAATAAGCAAAACTTAATTAGCCAACGAGTGTGTAATTTCTTGTGTAAATATTGAAGCAAATTATTTTAAAATCAGCCTCATTCTAATAGAAAGAGAATCTTTCTTAGCAGATGGACACACCTGTTTGTTTTATGTAATGATGTGCTTAGAAACTGTCACAATTATTATCTGTCAACCTAGCTTCTGGGACATTTATACTACCTCTTTAGCTTCTTAGACATAATGTTGCCTCTTTAGCTTCTTAGACATAATGTTGCCTCTTTAGCTTCTTAGACATGCTATTGCCTCTTTAACTTCTTAGACATCATACTGCCTCTTTAGCTTCTACCTAAGTTCTTGGACATAAATACTGTCTCCTAAGGTTCTGAGGGCAAATCAAATTATTCTTAACATTTTCATGCAGGTTCTCTCAGATCCTGAAGCCTACAAGTATGTTTCGGGTATCGCTCTTCACTGGTATTTGGACCCTGTTTCGTCAAAGAAACATTTGGATGATATCCACCAAGATTTCCCAGACAAATTTATGTTTGGAACGGAAGCTTGTGAAGGTTCTTGGCCTTGGGAGGCAGAAAAGGTTGACCTTGGGGCCTGGGACAGAGCAGCAAATTATGCTGATGACATCATCACTGTGAGCTAGGATTTTTTAAAATAGAAATTACTTTTACACAAATAAAGAAAATGAGTGAAAGTTGTATCAAGAAATGGATTTTCCCCAGCCATACATTGATGGGGCCGCAACGTAAAACATGTTATCAGGCTACGCACCATGGCTGAAAATAGGTTTAGTTTGAGATGTAAAAATGTTAACAAAACAGAATGAAACATTACAAATTTATTTTGATAACTTTTCAAATTAATAAAGACACAAATTTATTGTATGATAAAAAAATTATTGAATGATATAACAATGATAATAAGAACTGACAAAATTTCTAGATTATGCATTCATCACTGTCTATAAAAAGGAAACAAAATCAATTTCACTTTCTTAACACTGCTAGCAGTTCAACGAAATAGTTTATGAGAAAAAAAATCAAACAGCAGTTGTAAGGATAGTTTTAAAAAAAAAATATATAGTTTAATTGTGCACACAATTGAGGTAATTACCAAGACTCATATACTTCTGAAGTAATACTAACTCGTTGCGGGCATTATTTAGGATTTATGTCATATCTTTTATTAGCAGCATTTCAACTAAGATGTCTGCTTTAAGCTTAAGCTTTAATATTTTGTTTCAAAAAAGGTACAATGAGGTTTTCTGGGAAAAGTTAAGCAATTTATAAATGTAGTTGTTAATTCCATTGATATCATAACATTTAATGGTGAACTTGGTATAAAAACAGTCAGTTTTGTAATAGTAATAGATCAAAAATCACATTTCAAAAAGTTTATTATCAGAGTTTTATTTTCTAGGATTTTGATGTATAGTATTAAATACCATTTGTATGAAAACATTTGGCCTTCATTGAAAGATGGATATTTCCATTTTAAAAAGGGAACAGCAAAAACAGTTGTATACCACATTAAGTAATGCTTACATTTTTCACAATTATCATATGTGTACCGGTAATTGAAATTCCTTCTTGAGATTCATATTTTTAAAAAAACAACTGAGTTTCAATTTAACTCATTTATAACAAAGAATCTTGCAATCAAGAGCTCTTTTTACTAACTGCAATCGTCCATGTATACATAATTAGAAAATCTCACTTTTATAATAAGTGCACTTAGTCTTGTTTAATATTTCCTTTATTAAAAACAAAGTGTCAATGTCATTTGATTTAAAACTTTTTAAACTGAATAAGTTATAACGTCACTGTATCTTGTGCACAAGATAATTCTTCATTAAGTCCACCGCCTCATCACATGGTTAAGACAAGTTCCCAATCTAATAATTACATGCTTGTCTCCCCACAGGACTTAAACAACTGGGTCACAGGGTGGACAGACTGGAACATAGCTCTTGATCTACAAGGGGGGCCCAACTGGGTCTCCAACTTTGTAGACAGCCCAATCATTGTCAATGCTGAGAAGCAGGAGTTTTACAAACAACCAATGTTCTACATTTTAGGACATTTTAGGTATGTAGCCAAACATCACCTGTACTACACTCAATTGGAGTTGCATTTATCCCAGCCAAACGTCACCTGTACAACTCAATTGGAGTTGCATTTATCCCAGCTATGCTGGTTTCTTTCACAACTTAAAATTATTCTGGGTTAAATTTTCAACAAAATCGGTTCATTCCAAATCGAAATTATCAAAGTTAGAGTTTTTTAATAATTTTTTTTTTGCATCATCTTGCCAGAAGATTTTTTGTTTTACTTTCAGTAAATTCCTAGTCCCTGAATCAGTGTGGATAGCCACTAAAGCAACTCAAGACAATCCTCTTATAGAGATAACTGCATTCAAAAGACCTGACAATTCAGTAGCGCTTATTATACACAACATGTGAGTTCTCATAATCCACTTGATGAAATGTCAAAATGAAATGATTTTTCATTTTTTGGTGAATGTTTCTATAAATGGTAATAATCTAGAGGCATTTCTTTGACTTTAACTTAAAAGTTTAAGAACTTAAAAGCTTAAGTCCATACATATGCATAGGAAACCTTTATTAGCTTTATCATCAAACAGTCATCATGGTCAAACAAAATATTATATGTTTCATCTGTAAACTTTCAATCACTTCTCTTTTGAATCAGATGATCATTTTTTTAAATCTTGGATGTGCTATAAAATAATAAGCATTGATTATTGTATTTGAACCTGTTTACAGGGGCTTTGATACAGCACAATTACAGCTTTCAGATGGCAGTGACAAGTTATTATCAGTGACTAGTCCGGGCACCTCAATACAGACTGTTTTATGGTGGCTTTCCTAACACATACAAATTAATGAAGTCTGGGGATTAAGAAAATAGTAGAAAAAATTATGCGGAAGCTTGAAATAAAAAGACAAATGGTAAAAGTAAAAGAACTTTTTGGCTGAGAGCCTTCCTCAGCAGACAGGACAAATAAAGAAATAAAAAGAAATAGAAAGTTATATTCTTCATTTGGGCTGTCTGCTGAGGAAGGCTCTTAAAATGAAATGTTCTTATATTGTCCTCTCTCTCTATTTCCAGCTCCCAAACACCTTGTTCCACAATTTATAATATGAGGATTAAGCAATTTTTATTTACAGTAGAAAATGCATTAAGTACAGCAATTCTTTACCAAAAATGTTTCAATGTTTGATACCTCAAATAGTGTGTTGCCAAAGCTATGTAAATGTGTTTTTGATCATCTGCTTCAGGCATTACAAAACAGTTTCAATAATCTTAATACTCACATGAAGCAATAAAAAAAAAATTAATACCCATCTAAGTGGCTTAATTGGTTATATATACAAATTCAAATAACCCAACATCCTTTTAAGTAATACAATCAACCTCAGAGGTTGACACCACAGAATATTCTGAGAAAACATCCTTTTAAATGATGATATCAACCTCAGGGGTTGACACCACAGAATATTCTAAGAAAACATCTTTTTAAGTAATGATATCAACCTCAGAGGTTGACATCACAGAATATTCTGAGAAAACATCCTTTTAAATAATAATATCAACCTGAGAGGTTGACATCACAGAATATTCTGAGAAAACATCCTTTTAAATAATGATATCAACCTCAGGAGTTGACATTCCCAAAGAATGTTCTGAAAAAACATAGTGTATTTGGCATCATCTTAATTCTCTGACTAGAACATTTATTATTTGAACATTGTTATGTTTGAAGTAAGAGTCACAGTGGAGAGGATTTATTTCAGCAGTTTATATAAAATTTCAACATAAATATTCAGAGAAACCATTATTTTATTTATGAATTCAAGATATTGGTCCTGGTATGCACCTGCGGTTGCTAACAGAATTTTCCAACTAGATTAAAGCAAATCGTGCACATTCACACTCATCAATGATCAAATCAAATAAAAATTTGTTGAAAAATCATGGATATAAAAATATTTAGAAATGTAAAAGTAAATATATAACAAAATATAAAAAAAAACAGGTGTTCCGTGTATATATATAATTTTAAAACCCCCTAAAAAGGTTTATGTAAATGGCCCATTAATATATACATGCCAACCTGTAGGGTTCACCCGTATTTTGTTCATTTTTAAAAACATTTTTCTTATTGTATGGCCATATAGGATTTTGTAGTTTTTCACAGGCATTTAGAGAAAATGTTTTACACACATCACAATAAATTCAACTTAGCTCAGAAAAGAAGCTTAATTCCTCTTGGTCTCTTCAAAATGACCTTAGGCCCATAATTTTTAAAAACAAATTGTCCAATGAAACTTTTAGACAATGAAGGTAAATATTAAATCATAATTTTCTCAGCTTCATCAAGCATTTAATCTGCAGGTTAACCTTACAAGGGCAGATGTCTTATTTGCAAAGGTCATTGCAATCACATCTATTTTACAGTGCAAATCTAAAAATTACACTTATTTGGGTTTTCAAACTTATCCAGAAATTAACAAAAAGGCAAAGTTTGTAGGAATTCAAAAGGTTCATTATTGCTAACTAAATGAACAAGTTATAAATTGACATTTTTTTTTTTTTGGTACTGTTTTTTTCATGCTGTTGTATTGTTTTTTTGATGCAACAGGTTGGCATGTAGGATGTAATTTTGTTGAACATTCACCACGAAGTGTTGGGCTTCACTGCACATACTACGTTGTTCTCTTCATTAAACTTTGCTCTTGTGATTATGTTATAATGAATGAGTTTTTCTATTCTGATAAAATAAACCAAGAAATGAGGTCATAAGTCTCTTGTTTCCTCAGTTTTAAGTTGTGTTCTGCAAACTGAGAACATTGTGTTATTTTGACTCCAAACTAACAACCTTAACCTTTCTTGCATTTCGTGTCAATTTCTCAAAATAATTTCTGACAAACAAAAATAATCAATGTTTTGTAAATAGATCAACAATTTTGCTGCCTGGGATTAGGGTTTGAACTTCTTCAGTTCCCTTTCTTTGTTGCGATATTTTTGACAAATTTTGACAGGACATTGTCCACCCTTAAAACAAACAAAAATGCCATAAACGCACAGACCGACACAGTGAGAAACATGGCCCCTTCATACACCATTCGGGGGGCAAAGATTTTCCACACCATCAGATGTCTCCGATGAAGAGCGGCAGCTGTAGCCGCAGATAAAAACTGAAAAATATAAATTATAAAAGTTTACCTTGATTCAATAAATTTCTAAGATTTCGTGCTTAATGTTAATTATTAAATATTCGCTTTAGAGTTTTGCTAAATATTAGATAAAACACAGAGGTGGAAATGGTTAAGTAAATATAGCTAAAACAAACATCAAGGCTTTATAACACATGAAACAGCTCAATGCCGCCTGTTTACAGAGCCATGCATCTTGGTCAAATGATTCAGGGAACTTGGAAGTGTCACAATGGAATTAGTTGAATCATACCACCACAGGAAATAAATAGTATTGGATGAACGGTACACTCACAGCAAATAAATAGTATTGGATGAACCACACAATCACATCAAATACAGTCTCAGAACTATCAGATGCCACCTAGTAGTGTTCAATTACCTTTAATGACGCAATGACAATAATTCCACAGCATAATTTGAACATGCTCTTCCTCAAATGGATTCCATTATTGAATAATTTAAAATCACCCTGCCAAGTTGCTTTTCTCTGTGCTTGTTCTGGTGTCTTTCTGACCATCATACCAACAAGAGCGCTTGATAATAAAGGCCAGAAGACAAGAAGTGGACTGGCCAGATTGAAGAAAATAGGCCCAGCAAATGTGTTCAGCCAAATTAAAAAACCTGAAAGCAGAAGCAATGTTCCTTACAATTACACGGGAAATGTTTTTGTCATATCAATACTTAGATTTTTAACTGCTTTGTTATTGACCTACAAATAAATAACCTCTTAGCTATACAAGTTATTAGCTATACAAGTTACTTTACAGTTATTCATAAGACCTTAAAAGCAACAGTCAAAGGATATTAAAGAACATATTTTTTCATAGAAATAACAACGTAATGCACCCAATACATAAATATGCCAATTACCACATTTCACAACAAAAGCTGTGATTCTTGTTATTTTAAATTTTTGATGCAAATAAAAACCATTATCGTTCGTTTTCAAAACGCATAAAGAGAAATCTGATTATCATTTAACATCTATAAACTAATTGATAGTATTGTGATTTAATTGTAAAAAATATTTTTATGGCAGAACTAGGATACATACAAAAACTACATGCACAATGTTCACATATGACTTTTCTAATGAGAAATATATTGTTAGAGGCAGTTAGAGCTCAGAAAAATAGTAAAAATGTTTTCTATAATAAATTATATAACCCACAAACTGACTTCTATTATTTTGGCAATGGGAATCTCCTACCTGGTAGAATAAAGTTGTTGAAATCTCCATAAAATCCAGTGTAAGCTGCTTCAAATCTGATGCTGGGTATTGTTGCCTGATGACCAGTCCCATAGAAGAACAGAGTAGAGAGAAGACTCAGCAAAATCATGCCAGCCCAGCAAGGACTTGCTATGTGGGCTCCTGTTAAAATAAGGATTTATTCAAGACGGTACTCTAATTATGAATAAAATGACTTTCATGACTTTAAATTTGACTGTTAATAAGTCTCTCCTGTATTGACATGCGACTGCACCATAGCCAAAAAGTAAATCTGATTTGCTTTAGTTGCAGTCAATCAATATAGAAAGGTGAACTCAATAACTGAGTCATAATGATCATTACCGGTACTCAATAAACAAGTCTATTTTTTTTCTGCTGAAAAGTTCTCACTATTTAAATGTAACTTTTAGACTTTTATTTTGTTAGGCTTAAAAATTCTGGTCTTGATAAGGTCCTGTTGAAATGAATACACTTTTTTCTACTTATATCTATATTCACTGTTGTGCACACATTTCATAAAATGGTAGACATTTTCTTTACATTGTAGATTTTCAATAGCAGAATTTCCCAAACATGGTTCATCAAGAACATTACACCCGTAAAACAATCAAGAGTCAGCCACATTGCAGATGAGGAGCACCATGCAACTAGCGAGGTGCATCTTAAAATATTTTTTATTGACTTTATATCTATAAAATATGTAATCTTTTAGCTTTATCCAAACAAAGTGTTGAATATAGATACAAGCCATGTGCCTAAAAATTATATATTTACAAGAAAACATGGCCCAGAAGTACATCAAGTCGGCATAAAAGCGCATAAAATTTTTATCTTTTGAAACTATAAAGCAATATTTTGCATGCTGTGTATTTAAAGTATTAAATATTGAAAACTGTTCTTTATCAAGTCTAATTTTTAAAAGTTTACAACTTATTTTCAATTGTTTTTTGTGGTTCTTTTGGTGCACAGCAATAATGAAGAGATGTAGGTGAGTAAATAAGACAATACAAGAAGTAGTTGGGGAAGAATGTAAGGTTAATTGGAGAGTGGGTGATAAATTGAAAGAGGGTATGGTCAATTGAGGAGAGCATAAGAGGTATGGGGAGAGTGTGTGGGTTGGAGATTTGGCAAGTAGGGGTTGGAGAAATTTAGGGGTGTTAAAAGTCATAAATCACTCTTTCTACTCTTTGAATGATTTGATTGACCCGAGTAACACCTGAAATTAATTTTTTTTTAAATTTCACTATTATTTTATTTTTCAGCACTGAGGCTTTGGAAGAACTTACATCAAATGATTAGGAAGTTGCACTTAGAGACTTAAATATGATTATACAAAAATTACTCCAGGAGTTACCTTTTCTTAATTCCTCTGAAGCAGTGGCGGAAGAATACAGCTCCAAACACAAGTATAAGGCAATCGAGGCCAAAAGCAGGCTTGGGGCAATGCCATCATTCAACAGCAGAGCCAGCAATAGGCTTACAATGGATAACATGGCCACAACACTTGCAGAATATGCTGAACCAAGTCCGTAGACTACAGGTGGTTTTTCCTCATCCCCACCTTGAGATTCAGTGAGACGAACTTTAAGTTGATTGTAGAGAGTGGGAATGATTTGCTGGAAGTCAGCTAAAGAAATAGATGTACACAGCTTAATATTAACTAAATCAACAGAAAATCTATTTAAGATTTATTTACAACAAAAAAAGAGACACATTTTTTACAAATTATTTTTTTTTAATTGCAGAATAGTTCATCTAAGCTAGCCTAGTTGCTTGAATCATTAATGTTTTGTCATTACAAAAAATTATTCTAATTATTATTATTATTTTTTTGCTGTTGTTGAAAAATCAATCATGTAAAATAGATATCAATAAAATGCTCATCACATCCTGAAATACATGTAATACAAACCTTGATTGGGGAGACGAAGAGTTGAACCTAATTTAGCTGGCAGCATGTAAACAAGAAGTGGAAACAACATCAGTGTGAGCATGGAAGCTATCAGAATAATGTACACAGCTTGAGCCATAAGTGCCAGCTGCCAGGCTGAAAATGATTCGCTGGCAAATTCCGGAAGACCTTGTAGAGCCCAGTGAAAACATATGAACATGCCAGCCACCGGAGGTGCAAATGACAAGCAAACCACAGCTGGACTGGTGCCATTCAGATTCCCAAAGTACTTCAGCCAGTGTCTAAATGCATAGACCAGTGATGCCAGGCTAAAGACGCTCAAAATATATCTTTGATTTTTACTAGCCCCTTCCATCGAGGCTAGTGGAAATGTGAGAAATGGGTTTTCACAGGAGCCCTGCTCCTCTCTGCACACAAAGAAATTTGAAGTAATTCTCAGAACTATGCAGCAAAGTAAAGTTGAAACAAGCACTAAAGTAGTTGGATGTTTTATCACTTGAATAAGTTCAAAATTAGACTTTGACTTTTTAGAATATCTCATAAAATCAGTTTTTACATTTTCTTTTCTTTCTCCTGAAAAGTTTTTAAGCACAATTCGAAAACTAAAAATACACACAAGTGTCTGAACTAAAAATAGTGAGACCGCATTCTCAAAAACAATAAAACTGTTTGAGAAATAAAAACAGCAATAAGATGCCAACAAAACAGTTGATGCTACATTCTCCAATGTAACGAATTCTGCTAGAGAACCAGTTTTGATCAAGTTATCTTTCATCACAGCAACATTTAAAAGCATAAGTACTACAGCCAATGTGTACGCCATAAGAGGCACTGCATCAGAGAACAGTGAAATATGCACAACAAGATACAGCATGTGTAACAAGGAGCCTGCAAGTAAAAATTTTGCTGATGCCGGCAGACGTTCTTCATCATTATTCCAAACCACTAAAAAGTACAATCCCTGTACTGCTCCAAGCACGACTGTAAGAATCCCAGCCACGATCATCTTAAGGTCAAATTTAGCCCATACGTTTTCACACATCTCCCTTGCCTCTCTAATGTACTTCTTGTACAATTTCTCTAATGACTGAAGCTTTTGGAGGGCATCATTTGTGGGCCCTTGCGAGATCATCGTTGTTATCAAACCTTGAACTTCACTTTCTGCTCTGGTGACTTGCTGTTGTAATGTTCTAAGCTTGCTTGCTGGCAGATCTGATGCAATTTGTTGATATGTAGTGAGGTACAGGTTTATTTGATGTGCATTAAGCCTAAGCGCCTGGAAATGAACAAATAAATAACTTGAAAAATACACTTTAAATATTAAGACATTTATTTTATTGAATAATTATTGCTTACTTAAGATGTAACTTTCAACTATGACTTTATTTATGCTTTTAACAAAATAGACAAAAATTATTCCAACCTTAATCTTGTGATACACTTGTCTCAATTCATTTGATGCAGTGTTCCACCATGGGCAGTAACTAAATAGCTCAGGTATAACCATTCCTAAGTTTGAGAATGGTATTGGAAGCCCTAAAAGGAGAGACAGGGTAGGGACGAAATCCATTTGCATAACTATGCTATCTTCTGTCTGCAATAAAATAAAGATTTAATCAAATTAAAATTTAAGAAACAGTAGTGCATAGCAGTGTACAACTTTTTGCACTTTCCAGCTTACTAAATACATGATTTATTAAATAAATATTAAGTTATTATTTTCATCATTACAGGGGTCCTCAAACTACAGCCCACAGGCTAAATCCAGTCTCCCAGGGGTCCTTAACCTAGTCTGCATGGTCGGTGTATGTACCTTGGTAGCAGTGACAAATATGGAACTGGACACTGACCAATTGTTTAGCCAAAAGCTGAACCAAACTTCCAATGAAAGAGTAATAAGTTGATGTTGATTAAAAATGTTTATTTTAAAGATTGTATTGGTTTTTTTTTTGTCTGTTGGCTCTTTGCATTATTATTAAGATATGTGTAGTGTGCATAGGAATTCATTCATACCAGTCCAACAGCTTTTGGGGGGACAGTGAACCAGCCCCTTAATAAAATAGTTTGAGGATCCCTGATCTATAATAATAATAAATATTAGGGAACTGCAAAAATAGTTGTTTCAAGGATACAAATGTATGTATGTTTAAAAAAAAAATTGTGATTACAACAGAAATAAAACTGAATGATTGTAATATATAAATGTTCTTTTTTTATCTACACTTTATGGTGCCACTTAAGTTGAAATAAATATATAATCAGTGCCTTAAAGCACTATTTGTACTGTTGTCTTTCAGTGTAATATAAACAGATACCTCATCTTGCTTTCTGGATGCGATCTGTGCAGGACTGTAAATAAACAGACCAGCTTCAATCTCATCTGCACTATCTCCACCATGATCCCCTGTTTTTGTCATTCCATGGTCTCCCATTATAAACAGTATTGTGTCATCCCTCATAATATTTGTAACATTTCTAGAATGAAAACAAAATACAAATTTAAACAATAGCCTATAGTAAAAGCCCATAAAAGAAAGTTTAAGCTATCAATAATGTATTTCAATTTCAACAGTGCATTTTTAAGACCATAAGTTTAGACAGTTTAGTAAAGTTATTCCTAGTTAAATAGATAGAGTTTGTTGTAATTTTAAAAATAATTTTTTAAATTGATACAATGAATTGGAGAACTTAAAAAATTATGGGTTATAAAATTTTAATAATTTGTAAGAATATCACCTTATAACACTATCCATCTGTGTTAGTTTTTCTCTCATTGCAGGATGATTTGGACCATAGATATGGCCACAATGGTCAACTCCAATAAAGTGAGCTATGATAACATCCCAATCAGACACTTGTAGTTCAGAATATATATGTTTTAATATTTCATTATCAAGAGAATGAAGATCTTTAACATTAAATGAAGGGAATTCAAAGGATTTATAAAATCTTTTTGGAAACAAACTTAGCCAGGTATCATCACCAAAGAATTTTATTTTCTTCTTTTGTTTTATTAGGTGGTCAATAAAGCTGTCCTCCATTATTTCATAACTCTGAAAATTTGCACCAGCATCAACAAAGGTTGGCAAGCTTCCAGTTGTCAAGCCTTTAAGCCTTTGCATTGTAGTTGTTGGTGGATCCGCAATAAATTTATATTGCCTTGTATGCATTGGTTTTTGTTTTCTCAAATGATTCAAAGTGGTTAGTTTATTTTTATAAGGCGGTATCTTTTCATTGATCATTGACTGAAGACTGACATTGTAATCAATAAACTCATATTTTAATGCATCAATGATGATAATAATTGCTCTTTTGAATCTGCCATGCATCCAACAACCTTCAACTCCATGATTAGAATGGTGGTCGTCTGCCCTAAGAGCAAAGTCAGCTTCACAATCACTTGCTGTTGTGATGGCAGTCCTCGACAGCAAAAAGCCTTTGATGAAGATCAACGCACCGGACAATATTAACGAAAAGATAACAAGCAAAATTAACAAAAGTTTCAGTCCAAACATGGTTGTTGCTTGTATCCGGAAAGGAATATTATTAGTATCTCAAAACATAGTGCTCATATTTGTAGCCATTCGTTCTAAGTCTAAGTCTTTTCACGATTGCTACATACAACTACAGCGGTGCAAACTTAAAGGAAGGCCTAACTCTTCTGTTATGGAAATTAACGTAGGCGATCAACGATTTAGAATTTTAAAAACATTAATCCAAAAGAGTACAAGCCCAAAGGGGGGGGGGGGGGGGCAAATGGACTAAAAAAATAGAGATATATTATGGCTCTGTGGTATAGGCAGGCTAAACATGCTACGGATGTTAAACGAAAATACAGTTTTCTGTTTTGAAAAAAAATCCCAATTAAAGAAAACTAATATGATGCAAAGACTAAGACGGCCCTGAGTCTGTCTCGTGCTTACCTATAATTATAAGGTCGCAACTGAGTTGATGACTGATGACAGGGATGTGAATATGGGGTTTCGGGTGATGAATGGTGGAGAAATAAAAAAAAATAAAAATTAACCCCCCCCCCCCCCNGCATCGCAAAAATGACTTGAGACCTTTGGTAGCAATTTTTATTTGTCTTAAGTGAATCTCATACAATTTACCGAAGGAAGTAAACCTTTTCCCCGCCCAAATCATATTTTTTCTTTTCTTTTTTTTTTTTTTTTTTTTTTTTTGTGTTTTCTTTTCCTCTTTCGTAAACCTAAAAAGTTTTTTAAATTAATTTAATTTTTTTTTTTTTTTTTTTTTTTTTTTTTTTTTTTTTTGCAGCTTCACTTTCAGCATCGGAAAGCTACAAAGTCTTTTAAAACTACTTAATACTTTCTTTATTCTTTAGCCAACCGAACTTATTTGGGCCTAAAGTCCCTGTTTACCATCCAAATGATATCAGGAATAACTTTGAACTAGTAAATTTACCATTTTCCCTTGAATGTTAGCCCTTTTTGGTTATCATCACACACACACACACGAACGCACGCGCGCACACACATACATCACCTGACGGAACAAATAAATTTTAACTTTTTTTTTTTTATCTTTACCATGAATGGCTCTTGATAACAATCCATATGCTAAAATAAATATTGTGCAACTTCAATGTTACAGTCAAAGTGCGTAATCAATCAAGTGTGTATCGAATGCCTAGATAAAGTTTATGATGGCTTATGTATTTTACAATTTGAATAGGCATTCTATCGAATGGCTGGATTACAGAATACGCCTGTGGCATTTAAATAATATATAAATAAATCTAAGCATTTTTTGATCTAAATTTATTCTACATTACAGAAATCATTACTATAACAAATAATTAATTTAAGCTTGCTTACACTTACACCTAATATAACTAGTTCTAGGCCTACAATAAAAAAAAATGTTATAGAAGGTTTATATATGTTACAAATGAATAATTTGAATAAACCTAGGATTCCCAATATAAATATTGCCATTCCCCGATATGTCGCCCACCCCCCCCCCCCGGTTGTTCCCCCCCCCCCCCCCCCACAATTAAATTATTTACCTTTTCCGTTTGCCTCATTGACATTTCATTTTTGGAAATATTGGAAAAGTAAGTCATCATGTAGTTGTGAACAGCGTTCACAGAGGATTTGTATTATATATATTATACGTCTATACGGACAGCAAGACGTCGAGCAATAATGAATATCGGATTGCCGAGCCGACAGACAATCTGAGATCTGATAAAGACCGAAGGCTTCAATCACTTTCGGTCGAAACCGAAAATAAACCGAAATTAACTTCTCTATTTCGGCCGAAACCGAAACTGCGCTGAAAGTGATCAATGGCAAATTTCGGCGCCGAAAACGAAGCCGAAATTTGGTCAGTGTCAATGGCATAATTAGTAATTGCTCAGATCACATACGACAAGCAGTAGTTAAATTATAAGTTTACTTTTATGCATATAGAGCTGAGTCACTATTGTAAGCATTCGTTGGTGAATTTAAATTTAAAAAAAAAAAAAAATACAGTCTAAGTGACTCTAAGTCTAAGTCTAAGTCTAACATCGTCATACTAAAAAGTAGAAAATAAAATAAATATATTTTTAAAATTAAAAAAATGGAATTTAATTACACGACCAGTTTAAATGCACTAAAAAGTAGAAATTAATTGTCTTCAAATTTATTATGAAATGAAAAGAAAGAAAGTATGTGCAGAAAATATAAAAAATAAATAATAATAAACCATAGTTTGTTCCTCATTTAATTGGAATCTGTAAATGCAAACACAAAATAATAAATAAAAATGATGATAAAATTTAAAACATTAATTTTTATGTAGGCACCAGATTTAGAATTCATCGAAGGGGGCATTTTTTTTTTTTAATCACTCAGTGATCACGGTTATAATATTTTTTTTCCCAGCATGTAAAAAAAAAATATATGGGAACTCTTCAATACAATCAAGGGAAATTACCAGCATTTTCATTTAGAGCTCTTCCTCTATTTTGCTATTAAATTTAGTGGTAGAGTTTTGCACAGGTCAAAGGCTATTGTTTTTGTTTTGCACTTTACCCTTTATAAATAAGATTTTGCCATGAGATTGAAAAATTATTAAAATGCATACTTTTCGAAACATCCGACAAATACTTACATATTGCAAGCTTTCTAATGTGAGTTATTCACTTCATCACCTTGGCCTTGTTAACTATTAACTATGTTAATTAAATTTATTATTTTTTTTTAAAAATTAAGAATAAAAAATCAGGGGTGTTATTGTTATCAACGAATTCAATGACACTTGACGGCGAATGCAGAGAATAGGTGCCATTAATTAGGGATACATTTAGGGTTCAGGTTAGGTTTAAGGGCTAATGCTACTAAGACTAAGAGATGTAAATGTAAATGTAGCCATGACATGACGTGGTAGTAGCCATAATAGTAGGCATAACCTGGCAGACCCAAGAAGGCCACAGACTATATTTTAGTGGACGGGAGTACACACACACGAACAAGGAGTTGGCTTCCTTGTTCATAAAAACATTAAGAACAGTATTATGATGAGTTTCGAGCCGGCTCATCACTCTTCGTCTAAGGCGACTAAACTAAGGGCAACACTGTTCAACATCACCATCGTACATGCGTATGCACCAACTTCAGATTTTAATTACAAAGAAGTGGATGACTTCTACCATCAACTCCAGGATGTGCTGAACCAAACCCCCAAGAAAGACATTCTTATCGTTCAAGGTGATTGGAATGCCAGAATAGGAGAAGATTCCTATGCAAACTAGAAAGGAACTTTGGGGACGCCACTGTAACGCAACTTCAAACGAGAGAGGTCTGAGGCTCTTGGAATTAGCCAGCTTTAACGAACTCATACTGGCCAACAAGCTGGGTGCACATAAAATATCCAGGAAAACCACATAGCATAGCCCCAATGGGAAACATCACAATCAGATTGACTACATCATGCTGCAAACACGCTTTCGGTCTAGTATAAACATTGCCAAGACTCGCTGCTTCCCAGGAGCTGACAATGGAGGTGACCATGATCTAGTCATGATGACCTTAAGGCTGCACTTAAAGGGGGTAAATAAACAGGGGTTTACCACAAACAATTTCAACCTTGACAAGCTGAAGGATCCTAAATTAGCAGAAGTCTTCCAAGCAATGATAGGAGGAAAATTTGCAGCGCTTAACATTATAGATGCCGACTGTTCAGATATGGAGACATTGATTGATAACTTAAACACAGCTGTGACGGACACAGCTCATGACATCCTTGGTAAACGTCGACCAACCCAAAAACCATGGGTGACAGCTGACATCCTCAATCTGTGTGATAAACAGAGGCAGTTAAAGAAAACAAAGATGGTAGATACAGAGGGAGCCAATAAATATAGGACAGTTAACCAAGCCATCAAAAAAGGTATGAGAAGGGCAAAGAAGAACTGGATTGAAGAGCAATGCTATGACATTGAAAACTGCTTGAAGAAAAACAATAGCAAAAAGGAATACCAGTTGGTGAAAGAAATAACCACTGCAAAGCAAGGGCGTAGTACAACCATACAAGATAAAAATGGTTGATGTTTGACAGAGGAAAACAATATCCTGAAAAGATGAACTGAATACTGCTCAGAGCTGTATAATGAAAATATAAAGATAGACCCAGAGATCCTTAATGTCCCTCCAGCAACAGACAATGAAAACAACCCTATTCTCCACGCAGAAGTAGAAGCAGCAGTACAAGCACTCCAAATAGGAAAAGGCGTAGGAGTTGATAATATCCCTGCCGATTTGGTGAAGCAATGATAAATGCTCTAATCAATATTTGTAACAAAATATGGCTAACGGGGGAATGGCCCAAATCACTCATCATCACCCTCCCCAAGAAAGGTAAACTACAGCAATGCCAAAACTATCCCACCATTGGCCTAATAAGCCACCCAAGCAAGGTCATGATGAAGGTCATATTGAACCTACTAAGACCATATGCCGACAGAATCATTGCTGAAGAACGTCTTTGTGGATTTCAAGAAGGCATTCAACAGGGTTAGGCATGCTGCTTTATGGGCCACCATGAGGCACTACAACATCAACACAAACCTAACCAGAATAATATGCAGCCTCTAAGATAAGGCCACCAGTGCAGTCTTCTTTAACAATAACATCGGAGAATGGTTCAAGACCACGGTTGGAGTACGAAAAGGCTGCTTGCTCTCCGCACCCTGTTCAACATCTTCTTATAGAGAATTATGTCAGATGCTCTGGAAACGCATGTAGGGACAGTCAGCATTGGTGGCAGAACAATCACCAACCTACGCTTTGCGGATGACATAGATGGACTGGCTGGAAGCGAAGAAGTGGCAGCCAACCTCGTAAAGTGTCTCAACAAGACTTCATCGTCCTTTGGCCTGCAAATCAGTGCAGAAAAGACAAAATTGATGACGAATAGCACCACCGGCATCGCCACTGAAATTAAGGTCGGGGAGGAAAGATTAGAGACTGTAGGCAGCTAGGTACCTCGGAGCAATAGTCTCGGAAGAAGGCTCCAAGCCCAAATGATGTCATCTGTGGCGCCCCAACGGTCCAAGAACTAAGGGACATGATGATAACCTGGCAGCAGCATATAGTCTATAGTATAGGCTAAATCATTTTTTTAATTTGCAGCCTATTAATTTTAATTATTATTATTACACCAGTAATTCCTGACCTTTTTGAATGGCAGAGCCCTTTTTATAATAAATTTCTTTTGGAGAGCCCTAAGTTAATTCTGTTTTATTTCCTAGAACAGCTGCAAGCCTCTGAGAAGTTTATGTGGAGCTCTTAAGGGCTCCACGGAACACTAGTTGGGAACGACTGACACTGGGCTACAATATGGTGACACTAGCTTGGGTTGGAGATGTTCACTTACTTGTCTCTGAAATCTTATGTAATGACACAGAATACAAAAATCACTTAAGTTTAACCTGTAATTTACACAAAATCATGAAACAAATAAAGTGCAGAAGCTTGTATTACTCAGGCCATAGTATCCTAATAAGCAATTGAATAGTTTTAAAAAATGTAATATTTGCACCATGAAAAGAGTAAAGGAAGAGGTTAAACCTAGTTTGTTGTATGGTTGTTATGTCTGTGTTTGTCAGAGGCAGAGGGCTCATCACCATCATTAGGTTTCGCTTTAAAGCCTAATTGTTATACGTTTAGGACTAGTATTACAGAACAGTCAATAGTGAATTTCAGGTTTCATTTCCAGAATGTTGTTAAAAGTGAAAATGACTTAACTAATGTTGAAGAATTCCAATGTGGAAGTTTTACTCATGCAGATGCTGAAATGGTTTATTTTGTCATTTAACTACATAAACAATCTTATAATGATCAACTTTTAATAAATTTCTCAAACAGAAGTTCCTTAATTTTAAACTAAAACTAAAAGAAATACTGGTATAAAAAGTGTAAAGTTTTTTTATTAGATTTTTAAAAATGTATTTTGTCACACTGTCAGTGCCAAAAAAAACCCCAACATTTAGGTTTCTGTTTAAAAAATAAAAAAAAATCTTTTTGTTTTTCAGTTGCTTCAACAAAATCTTGCTGCTGGTGTTCACACAGGAAGACTTTGTCTTAAACAAAATAAGGTAGAGTTGCAGATTTCATATATAAACAATAAATGTGTATATTTAAGACCAATGAGGTATGTTAAAGTATTTCTTAAAGTTAATAAAGCTTCATTTTTTGTTCTTATTTTTAAGCTTTTAACATATGGTACTCTAAAATTAAGTAGTATTATCTAAGCATCTAATAGGCATGTGTGCTTGGTATGCTCTTTTATGGCACTGAAGTGTGGACCACATATGCCAGTCATGAGTGGCAACTCAACAACTTCCATTTCCATCAAATATGTCTGCGTAGCATTTTACACATTCAATGAAAAATGAATGGCAGTACAAGGTGCCTAACGCAGAGATCTTGGATGTGCAAAATTGTGTTTCATATTCTCAGCTCTTAGCAAGAGGCGCCTTCATTCCAAAGGATCTGTTGTATGGAGAGTAGGCAGAAGGGGCAAGAGTTATTGGAACAGCCGCGACTGTGATTTAAGGACATTTGCAAAAGGAGCATGAGGGAGGGAAGCCAGTATAGAAATCAAAGATTGGGACATCATCACTGAGCACCAAACAGCAGTATATGAAGGAGTCAAAAAGGCAGAAAACACGCAGGCCCTGTTAATAGAAGGGCCAGAGTATTACTGAAGGCCAAATTTAACCAGGAGTCAAGGTTCTCCTACGAGAAATGCAGCCAAGTCTGCCATTCCAGGATTGGCCTAGTAAGCCATTTTTTGAGTGTTCATAGCTACTCCATTGTGTCGCGAAGACAGAAGGATGTAACATTATTATTTATCATTTATCACTCATAGATCCTTTAATTTACCTTAAAGCATGTTCTCATATGAAAATAAAATCTTTAATATATTGTTTCCATAGAATTTCAAAATATAAATGTCTCTTTCCATCTTTGTTTGTGACAAAAATATATATCTATGATCTTTAACAAAAAAACTTGTGAGGTACCGGTATGCAACGAGAAATGAAGTGTAATACTTTTGGTGGTATAGGAATGATATATAATTTTGAAAATAAAAATACTTCTTTATTTCCTTCTTGAAAATAAAAATCACTACTTTATTTCCTCCCATTAAATTGATCTGGAAAAAATTTAAAAAAAATTACTATTAACAATTCTAACCTTTAAGGCAGGGTTTCCCAACCTTTTCTGTAGTCTTGCATACCTACAAATTATTTTACGATACATGTACAAAAGTGGCAATGCGTTTAAAAATTGAAAAAAAACAACACAAAAAACAAAAGCTTATTATGCTTTTTTTAAACCTGCTTTTTGTAAAAATATGTTATTTTAATTATGACTAAAAAAATATTGCAGACACTTGCTCTGTTATTAAAAGTTACAGCTCCACATTAACATTGCCAATAAATGGAGATGTATTGAGACCAAGTGCAATCTAAAATAAAAGAATGGTTAATGAGTGGGCCAGTGGCACAGCTAGAATTGGTGTCACCGGGTGCGGTCCGCACCCCCCTAGCTATGCCACTGGATTGGGCAATGGATGAGGAAGATAGAAACAAACACATGGTCTATTTTAAAAAGTAAATCTCATTGACTGTAGGTCAAAATTATAAAATGTAATGCCTGTTTATTTTTGGATTGACTGCCTAAGTGTTTTATTTACTTTTTTAATTTCATTTGGGCACTTATTTTTATTTATGTGATTTAATGTACCACAGACAGCCAATATTTAATTTCATCCCCTTAAACAGCCAATATTTAATGCCATCCCCATAGACAGCCAATATTTAATAATTACATCACTGTAGACAGCCAGATTTAATTCCATCCCTGTAGACAGCCAATATTTAATTCCATCCCCTTAGACAGCCAATTTTAATTCCTGGTCTGCACCCAATTTGCGGCCTGCGAAGACTTTGGTGAAAATCTATCATCTTATAAATTAAAAATAATACGGTAAACAAAAACCTTACGATGTTCCACCAAATTTTTTTAGTGTATTTGGAACCACTTATCTATGTGAATAGACATTTTAAACAATGAACATTAATAAATTCAAAGAACGCTCATGTTTGTGTGATGATCATTTGGAAGAGATCTTGAGGACAGCCACTTCCAATATATCTCCTGAATATGAAAAACTTGTTACCAAAAAATGATGCAATGTGTCACATTAATTATGCTGACAAACAATATTAAATTTTTTTTGTAAGAAATGAAATAGTCTTTATCATTTTCTTAATAGCTTGCCCCCATCCTATTTTCTTTTGGCCCGCAAAAGTTTTTTATAAAGTATTACGGCGCGCCTTACATTTTGAGTCGTGCAGGCCTGCCGTAGGCAGCCAAACTTTAATTCCATCCCCGTAGACTGCCAATATTTAATTCCATACCAGGGTGGCCTCTGACTCTGATTTAAAAGGTTTTCTACCAGGCTAACGAGTCCATTTTAACTAGCTGTTTGGCCACATGAATTTGAATTAGCTACATTTAGGAGACAATACTACAAAAGGATTGGGCTTTTAAAGAAATTCATTGACCTAAATATTTTTCTTTTGATAGCTGTGGCACCTTGGAAAAATTAATCATGTTGCCTTAGTCAGCCCCGATCTTGATAAAAGCACTGCACTATATAGGGATGTCCTAGGAGGAGATGTTAGTGACAAACAGGTGAGACAAGTCATTACTAAATGGGCGATGCTACTGCCAGAAATGATTAATTTATAAGAAACATGGAGTTCATTTTGATGAATTATCAAAGAATAATATTTAATAACAGATCATTTCCATAACTATTCACTAAGTGATGACAACATTTAAAATACTTAAAAACTAATGTTTGTTAGTTAAGTTAGAGTTACCGGTAGTCACCGACATTGCAGTGTCCTAAAATGGGGTGATTTTAATCAATAGCATTTACATTATATTTACAGCCTTATGAAACGCTGACACTGCTGTATTCAGTAAGGTGTGTCTCCATGTCCATTTTTAAAAATATTGCTTTTTGCCATAATTTTGTTTACTTTTTTAATTTTTTTGGTTTGAATCCACTAGTACCAATAAAGGAATAAATATGAAACTAAAGCTGTTTTTTACACAATTAATATTTTCAGGCACTGCCTGAGCATGGTGTAACAACCGTTTTTGTGAAACTTGGAGACACAAAAATTGAGGTGATTAGAACAAAAGTGCTCTCACAGTTTAAAGCATTTTTTTTATTAATATTAGGTAGCATCATATTTAAAAAGTTGTCCACTGAGTTAAATCTCTCCCATGGTCAGCCAATTGAAAGACCATCCATTTGGAAGCAGCTGGTGTTGCACAAACCTGTTACAAAAATATATATAATAATAGGATCTTAAAAAGATCATTTGCATTGTTAATTAAGCTGTATGCTTATTCATTTTTCAAAAGTAAAATTCATGAAAAAAACCCAACTATTATCAGTCATACCAACAAATTAATTTAGCTTTTTAAAGGTCAGGATCATTATACTAAATTATAACACACCTCTGTTTTGTACCTGTAGTTGAGATTTTAACTAATTTATTTTTATTTCTTCAGCTTCTACACCCTTTGGGAGATAAAAGCCCCATTCAGTCTTTCTTAGAGAAAAATAAGTCCGGTGGAATGCATCACATATGTATTGAGGTAATTATTTTGTCTCCGTCTCTCCCCCCCTCCCAATTAATTATAATTAATTTACCTTATGTTTTTCAATTCTCTTTTCAAAGGTTGACAATATCGAGGAAGCAGTGAAAGATCTTAAAGCTAAAAAGATTCGTATATTGAGTGAAGAACCTAGAATAGGAGCTCATGGAAAACCAGTGATCTTTCTTCACCCTAAAGATTGTGATGGTGTTTTGGTTGAGCTGGAACAAGCTTGAAATGTAGCTTTAATTAATATAAATATATAGTTTATTTCTTAATGCTCATGTACATTCATACCTCAAATTAATGTAATAAAATGGTCTTTGCATATGTTCCCTTTATTTTATTATAATATACCTTTCACAAATATTTTTTTTACCAAACAATAGAAAATAGTTAAAGATTTATTTTTGTGTAGGCATATTAGATGAATAAATTGGGGAATACAATTACTGTTGATCAAAATAATGAGCGGTCATTTTATACTCAGAAATACGGTTATATATTAAATATTATGTGCCGGAACATAATAATATTTAAAAGGATTTGATAAATTTGCACATACACCTTAAGGGTGTAAAAATTTTTTATTTATTTAGAAAACCACAAAAATGTTTATGAAAAAAAAAGTTTGGTGACTTCTGTAACCAGTTTTTTAAATAATATTTTAAATGGATTCAAATAAAATGGTTGCTTATTTGAAAAAATGCCTTTCCATTTCCTGGGAAACATTTTTGACACATAAAATATAATTGAAATCACTCTACTTACAAAAGAAAAAGTATTAATTGTTTCACAACTTTGTTTAAAATTTTAACTACAGTTTTAAAATGTACAATACCTTAATATTACTTTATATTGACATATAGTCTAAACTAAATGGTACCGGTACAAATTATTTTAAAAGAAAGAGGGTTATTTACAAGTAAAAATATTTTATTAGCTGAGCAATTTAATTTTATATATTATATATTAAGAAGAGAATTCTTAGAATTTTCATGTAGTATTGTAAAGTGTTACCTAAAATGCATAAATTAAAATAATTTAATGTGCTCAAAGTAATACAATGTGAAAATTGTGTGACTCTCAATAGAGAAAATTTACACAAGCTTATTCTTTTAACCATAAAAATTATTCATTTTCAACAACCGATAAATTATTTGTTAAAAATATATCTAAAATTTATAAGACAAAAACTTGTAAAAAAATCACTATGACTAATACCTACACACGGCTATGTCCAACACATGGCCATTTTGCTTCATTTGAAATCAAGCCTTGACTTGGAGAAAAAAAATGAATGCCTGACAAGTATTTCCCCCTAAATGGTTGATCCAAATTTCTATTTTTTCTCAGCAATTCATTTCAAATCCCCATCCTCACACTTTTTTTTCTTTGTTGGACTTTTTGCGTTTTTTTCTTTCACAACTGTGAGATTCTGTAGTCACACTACTGTCGACCAATGACCCTTCACCCGATTTTCTCTTTTGTGGCTTTCTAACATTGCCAGACTTTTCATCAACTGTATCAGATTCTTGGTGCTTATTGATATCTGCTTTACTTTTATAATTACTATTATCCCACTTAGGTACATCATTATCCCTACCTCTGCTTCTGTCATCATCATCTTCCCTCCTACTGGGTCTGGCACCATCATCTTCCCTCCTACTGGTTCTGGCATCATCATATCCCCTGCCTCTGGTATTATCATATCCCCTATCACTGTATCTTGTATCTTCATATTCTCTATTACTTTGCTTTGCATTGTATTCCCTGCCTCTGTGTCTCATATCATCATATCCCCAATGGGTTCTGCCATAACCTTCCTGATAAAACCCTGGATCTAAGGCCCTGCCACCATATCTATTGAACTTGAAGGAACCATGGAAATCATTGCTAGATTCTTTTAGTCTTTCACTATCACCATCCAAGGGCTTGGTCTCATTAGATTCTTCATAATTTTGCTGTCGCCAATTGGGATGATCTGATCTGTTGTGCCTCCATCTACCTTTCCCCCTTCCACCGTTATGATTTGGCTTGGCAGGATCTTCTTTTGGTTGATAATTAGGGTCATAGGTTGACTCGCCCCTGAAAAATAAATTTTCTTTGTTATTATTTGTATTGAAATTCTTATTCACTTGTTCTGATGAACACTCTTCAGCATCTGACATAATACCAAATGCCACTTAATCAAGCACATATCTCTTCAGATGCCATTAATGTACAAAAAGCCATGCTGACATATTTATTTGCACTGCTAAACGATCAACAGACAGAAGTGTAACCTAAATAAAAATTAATTACCTTACTATTAAATTTATAGTGTTGGTAGGAAGGTTGCACGGTTAAGCAAATTGATAATTATAATTAAAAAATATATTATAATGTATTTTTACGTTTTTTTTGCCTAATGTAATTAAAAATTGCAGGTAATTAATTATGTTATTTCAAAATATATCACACTAGGTTCAAACCAAAAAAACATTAAAATGCAATTAAAATGTTATAGTTGCTGGCACAACTTACTTCTTTCTTTTTCTGAGATCATCTAGGTAGTTTTCCCTTTCCAAATCGTGCCCCCTGGCTTCATTAAACACTGAAAATAAATGAGTCATTCTTTAAAAAAAAAAAATCACATTAAAAATAAAATATCTAATTCTAATTTAATTTAAAGATTATTTAAACAGGTAAGAGGCCATCCATACATTACGTGTGCAATGGGGGGGGGGGGGGGGGGGGGGGGTTGGAGTTATTGCGCATGGGTGTGTATGAATATGCACATACATATATACCCTAATTCTAAAATATATGGCCTGAAATTCTGATTATCCGTAAACAGCCTATTTATGACTCTAATAAAGCCAACTGTCATTTTCGTTTCCAATTCGTCAAATCCAAGATTGCACATTTTTTCGAAGAATATAAAATTACCATGCAAACTTTTGTAATTACGGTATTGTCCCTGATTGTGTGTTTTAGCTTAGTGACAAATTAAGTCCACTATTTGACTTTTTATGTTTACATGCATGTGACACAATTATTAAGCAGGAGTCAACAGCTTTTTTTTTTGAGCGAGGAGCCATTTTTTATGAATAATATCTGCTAGAAAATGTTTTGGTAGTCGCATGTCATTATACATTAGTAAAAAAAAAAAGAGCAGCATCTGTACACTTCTAGAGCCGCAGGTTGCGGATCACTGAGCTGAGACATCATATTTAACATGGTATACAGTGACCTCGTTAAACTGCAGTATAAATCATACCTGTATATAATGAAATTGAAACATGCTTTATTTTTTTTTAAGGGAAGGGAGTTGTGAAAAATTATTTGTTCATGTGCATGGGGGGGAGGGGGGGTGTGTGTCCCAAAAGAATGTGTTGATGAAACAGTGCACAGGGGAAGGTGGAGTATGAAATTCCCCTTTTTATGGTGTACATAATAGATGGATGGCCATATATTATGCAAGAGATGGCCCCTACATCATGCAATGGATGGCCCCCTACATTATGCAATCAGCTGGTAACTTACATGTGATAGCTGTATCTGGCTCCATGTCCATTTCTTCTATCATATACCTGATGATGTTAACATAGAGTTTAAGGATTATCTTTGAAAATAGTCAATTGAAAAAAACCATCTCTATAACTTAAAACACTGCTATCAATTTAGATAGAAGGGAAACAAAATCACAATAAAGAGCAGTACTCTAATAAAAAGGTTTAAAGAAACTTTCTAAATAAGCTTTATTTTCTTTGGATGGTACAGGTACAATATTATAATTAATTTCAAAACTTAATAAGATGTAATGTAATGAATATTTACCTGCATATAAGGTATCCTGTTCGATTTACACCATGTGTGCAATGCACTCCTATCAAAAGCCCTATAGCATAAATGTATATAATATTCGAAGTAAAGGTAGTATTCACTTAATCAGACAGTTGTTAAGCTCTTAATCGAATTATTGAAGAAAAAAAATCTATGCATAAACATATCAGTAAAATTCTATGAAATAAAACCAGTGAAGTTAAATAAAATATCGGTATTGCTACCAAGACAAATTAGAAAAAGATCAACTAATTTAGATTTTTGTAAAACAGAAATAATAAGGCGTTTATGCTTATGAACAAAAGTAGCATGAAATTTGTTCCTATTAAATTAACCATTTAATACAAAATGTAAGTTGTAACTGCTATGATTGAGAAAATGTCCAAACGGTAGATTATAGTTATAAAAAACAATATTTTGGGAAAATATTGTAAAAATGTCTCAAAATACAGTAGTGAAACTTGCATTTTGAATGGGTACATGGGTTTGTCAATGGTGCATTGCTCCAGTCGTCATGTGTTCATGGTAGTCTTAATAAAGATGGTTGACCAGAACTGTTTTAATATAGAACCACGCACAGGCTCTTTTACTGGTGTTGCATTTGCCCTCTTAAAGTCTAAAGATGACCATTTTTTTAAACTAAATATTAGCGAAAACCTTGTTCACCAATTTTTTAAGGCAGGGGTCTCCAAACTACGGCAGGCAGGGGTCTCCAAACTACGGACCGCTAGGCCCTCTCACCCGGCCCATGGAGAATTTTTTGTCTACAGAAAAAATTACTGAAATTTACAAGTATCCTGCCAAGATTAGCTGCCGCTTACGTGGAAATTATGTTTTACTGAATTAAAATAGAGGCGCGCAGTTCACAGTCAATGAGATGACAAACGCCATCTAGTGGCGCATTATTTAAATGCTTTGCTGTTTGTTTAAGACTTGATTATTTTGATCACTGTTTGCAAGTTGCGGTTGACTGCTGCGATGAGGAGGTGCTGGTGTCAGTCTGCGCCTGATTGCGAAACATGTTGCACGCAATTACTTATCAGTGTGTTTAAAAGTATTGGGAACGCCGTTAGATCAGAAATAATTTTTCGAACATTCTGAAGAGGAAACATCAAAAGCAACAATCTCTCTACTATAGGTGGATATATTCGTACACTATATTCAGGTAAGTTTAACTTAAGAAGTCAAAATAATTTTTAAAAAATTGTATCGGGTCATTTGCAGCTATAATTGTGATGAAATTAGTTTGCATAATCAGGTTTTTTACATAGTCCGGTAATTTTAGCGATATTGTTTGCAAGATTCTTTCAGTATTTATTCATGTTGAATTCACTTTATTTTAGTGCCCAGCGATGGCAGGGAAGAAGAAAAGAAAAATAGACGATGAGTGTCTGCAATTTCAAGATGAATAGAGTTTGAAATACTTCTTTATCAAATCCCACGAGAAAGCCTTGTGTGTGATTTGCAACAAAACCCTGGCTGTGATAAAAGAATACTACCTGCACCGTCATCACCAAAGCAAACATCAGGAGAAATATGCACAGTTGGAAGGTAAAGTCTGTGCCGAAAAATTATCTTAATTACAAAATCAATTCACATCTAAGAAGACATTGTTCAGTAAATCCTCAAATGAAAATGAATCCTTAACTAAGGCCAGTTATAAAGTTGCCTAAGTCCTAGCTAAAAGTGGCAAACCGTTTAAAGATTGTGAAGTAGTGATGGGGTTTTTAACAGTTTTTGCCTAAGTAAGCCTTTTCTAAATCTGCTATTTTGGCATCTAGGAAACAATTTCACCATTTCCACTAATAAAGGTCTTCATTTGTAGTGTATCAATGTGTTATTGAATAATAACTTAATAAAATAATATTAAATAAATAATTAAAAACAGCATCCATGTTTTGATCCTTTTTTAATATTTGGACCTCGAGTGTGTAGTCTGCCTCCGAACTGCTGTTTGATAATTAATGCAGCCCTCGGGCTGAAAAGTTTGGAGACCCCTGGTTTAAGGACTTGGTAATAGTTGCATTTTAGTACAGAATTCAGACAGGGCAACGCTTGACAGAGCCAGATATGTGGTCTGGAATGGTGTAGTGTGGAACATTTCTGCCCATTGAGCATGCGGATTTCAAATATTTTAGGAATGTGTAGTCACCAACGAAAGTCAAACTCACTAACTGGTTTATAAGACCTCCACTTCAGTTGTCAGCGTACATTTCATTTAATGGTCTATCAGATTGACAAGTGCATCTTTCCAATATAGTGAAATTGTCTTAACAATATAAAGCGAATTGTCTTAACAATATATGGCATAATTGTGTTACTTGATACCGTCTTTTAAAAACTTTTTCTGAATTGTTGTGCAAACTTTTTCAAATTCGGTCTCCATTTACAACCAATCACATATGAGCAAAAATTAAGGACCACTAGGAATACTCTTTCCTTCTTTTGGAAACCCATTTCCAATTACAAATGACCAGCTTATTTTCCCTTCGATTTCTTGGAACACTTGGCTATTTGAGCTATGCAGTGCTAAAGAATGCATATAAACATTCAATATGCAGGATTTTCAGTACCGTTATTTTTGGCGCTTGCTGTAATTCTGAATAGAACATACCTTTTTTATCTATTGTTTTAACAGCCTTAGCAAATCTGTAGGGGGAAAAAAAAATGACATTAATGTTTACTGTCCACTGTCAGCTCCTGAGTAACTCAATCATTATGAGTGGACTGAGTATACAAATTAATTTGGGTAAATCTGTGAGTACACGGTGGTATATAAATACAGGGGTTAGTTCGTGCTTAGTTCATCAGGAGTTTGTTAATAGTGCATGATAAGTTTCATGGAGAGTTTGTCATTTTCATAGAGTTTTTAAAGTAGTTGTGTTAGAAAAAGGTCTGTTTTGTAGATGCTTTCTAATAGAGAATGTCACAAACATGCCAACCTGATTTCAGTTTCTAAAATTTAGATAGCCTACCGATCTCAGACTTTGGAACAAAATTCATTTTTTAATTGGTTATCGGTTTTCTATTGACCCATTTATTGCACTGCCAGTAAAGATTTCAATCATGTGTCATCACTGAGCACTGTCATATGCAAAAATATTTCTTTTCTAAATCCATTGAGAAACCGTACATAGTACCATATAGCTGCACAACACGAAAAACGCTTAGGTTGACACGTATGCATAGAATTATTTTCACCAGCTGAAAGACTATGATATCTATTGCTCTCAACGTTTAAGGTGGGAAAATGTTCTGGGATCCTTTCTACATCAGATAAACGTGCAAACAACTATGAATTTTAATCTAGCAGCTATGAGTATAAGGGAATTTCACTTTATTTGTTTTGTTGATGGCCATCCAAGATCTTGATAAATGTGTGTTGACATGCTTTGTAAATAAATTTAATCTAAGCTACAAATTTCAGAATGGAAAAGTATTTTCATACTATTATAATTTCTGCAAATAATTTTTCTAAACTTTTAGGGGGAAAACAACAGCAGTTTTAAAATATTAAAGGCTTTTTAACCCACAAACTGTGGCATGCATCAATCTGTAGTGTGGGAGCTTTTCAGAGCTTTTTGAGTGCCATTTGAAATTACATTAAAGGACATAGAAATATTAATACAAGGCCCCAATAAGTATATATTTTTAGAATGGTAAATAGATAGGGATAAAGTTGGCTATATTGTCCACCCCGTAAAAAAATTTTGCTGTGTCCTTAACCTCGGAGTGCTCAAGAAAAAAAAATCGACAAAATGTTTTGCTTTCAAGTGCTCATAACATCATTAATTTTTTATAGATCCACTTAAAGCACTAATCAAAATATTGTAGCCAATTCATTTTTCTTTCAGAAAATGTATAGTTTGCTAAGATTTTGATTGCAATTAAACCGCTGAAAGCAATTTTAGTAATTTTAGGTCATTTATATTAGAAACTGGGATCAGAGCTAAAACCAATTACAACTTCCGTATAACATACAAAATCTCACGCAAAATAGTTATAATGGACTAGTAAAAATTTAAAATGGAACTGTGTAACTGATTTGGGTTGTTTAGCTATAAAATTTATTAGTTCTGATCTATAATCTGTAGCTTTTATGACTAAAATTCAGTCAGTCCTTGCCCAACCTCCTGGCCTGGCTCGAAGTCTAACAGTAGGCCTACTTCAGTAATTCAGTATCACTAAGACTAGTATCAGATTAATGAGAAGAAGAATCTGAGCTGAAATTGTCATGGGGAATTTAAAATCATCATCAGTATCACTTAAATCCTCTCCTAAAAAGCTTTCAAAAATATTTATATTAGTTCTCGCACTGAAGACCCAGCCATGGATTCATCCATTTTATCTTTAAAAAAAAGTGATATAAAATTCCAATTAAAAATTACTTATGTTAAGTTTTCAAGAAACAGCTTGACCCGGAAGTTGATTTAATTATTAATAAAAGGAAGTGGCTATGATTCCTGTTAAATATTGGATTGGAAGTTGCTATAGATCTGTGTTTATTATTGGCTGCCACAGTACTGAACGAGATTTACGGCCGATTTTTTCGGCCGACCACAGTCGTGGGTTAACTACCAATGAAAAAAAAAAAAGAACCTTTTAAACTTACTTATGAAATACATCATAGTTTGGTACTTCATGACCTGGTGTAAAAACCTTTTCATGTTTAATGGACAAGTTCTCAAATTCCTGGAAAAAAAAGAAAGAAAGAAGAACAATTAAAGAACCTTGTTTATAAGGTAGTAATTATTTAAGTAACAGGTAAGTCTTTCCTAATATAACAAAATTTCATATTTTAGTTTTTCACGCAATCAGATTTTAATTTTTTTCAGTTAAACAGGGATTTGGGAAAACTAAGTGAGGGAACCAAGGAAACAATCTAATACCCGTACATTTTAAACGTTTTTAAAGCATTTTATGCGATTTTTTTTCTGTGACTCAAAACACAGCCTTTAAGTACAAAAGTTACAAGGAGCGACCGTTTAAACAAACAATGTCACAAAACACCAATTGTTTACCATTAAATATTCACCTTATTTTATCAAATAAATATGTTGGTGATCAAACATAAATCTTTTGGTACTAATTTTTCCATGCTTTAAAAAATATAAAACATAAAATAAATGTAATATCAGATAGGTGAGTCCCCATTGTTAGATTCATGTCGTATTAATGAAGTGAAGGATGAGAAAACAATGTTGAAAATTGACAATTTAATTCTACAGCAATTGAAAATAGAAAGATCTGATACTGCTGGACAGTTAATAGTAAAAGCTCACCATATTGAAAATAAGTGTATATCAAGTTACCAACCAGTCAATATGAAACTGTTTTTTTAAATAGAATAATGTTGTTGTTTTTTTAAAACTTCATTTTAACTATCATGTAGTGTTAAAGCAGTGTAAATACCAATTCATTTTTAACAATTATTTAAAAAGCCAAAATAGAACCTCTTCATTTCTTTAAATGTTACTTTGAAAGCTATTAACATAACCAATGATTTTAAGGAAACTACGTTTATATACATAATAAAGGCTGTCAATTTCATTTCAAGTACGCTTAAGTCTAAAGCAACACTTTAGAAATATTTACCGCTTTGTCATAATATCTCAGAGTGTAGGTAAGATCGATAATTCCTCCCAATTTAAGACCTTCACTTTCTAGGGTCTGGACCAATCTTTTGGGGGAAAATCTGTAAAAATTATAACTCAGAAAAATAATTTCAGCCATATTACAAGTGAAATTGAAAAATTTTAAATCATGCTTTCAATATAAATTTAAAGATATTTTATAACTTATGCAACGTACCTGTCTTTTTCTTCTATTTGCCCTAGCAATGTCTGTAAATATATAAATTACAACTTTTAGACGAAAGATTTCAACAGAAACTTGAGCTATAAAATTATATTTAACATTTTTAAAAAGATTTACACATTTGCGCCAATTTAAACAGTGTTAGATTACACCAAAAAATCGTGCTTAATAAGTTTCAATATCTACAATTCAATGATAAGAAGGAAAATATAGACAGTTATAACAATAAAATTTGTAATAGCCATGGTGAAAGAATACTACCCCTTACTACCTCTTTTAATGGAACCTTGAAAGCAATAAAAGATGTTCCTGGAATCACTTTGCCCAAAGGGCAGTATTGTTCCCATCTGGAAAAAAAAATTAATTCAACTAAATTAAATTACGACTATTAGTCCAATACTTCATAACTCAGCAAGGGTTTTATGACAAAACCTGTGCTTATGTGCCAAAAACATTGTAATAAGGAATAAACGTCTGGTTTCACTTCATAATACACTGCTGTTCACCAGCTGGAACTTTGTTCGGCAATGATCTCCAATTTGGCTTCCCTCATGCTCCTTTTGCAAACATCCATAAATCTCAGGTGTGGCTGTCCAATAAGTTTTGTCCCTTTTGCCAAATCTCCATACAACAGCATCTTTGGGATACAGCCTTCCTCCATTCTCCTTACAAAGCCTAACCAGCAAAGGCGCTTCTTGCTAAGAGCGGAGAATAAGCTGAAACATTTTTGCACATTCCAAGACCTCTGTGTTAGTCACCTTTTTCTGCCATCGAATGCCTAAAATCTTTGATGGAAGCTGTTGAGTTTCTGCTCAAGACTGGTATATGTGGTCCACACTTCACTGCCCGACAGACACGTTAGTTTTTTTTTATCAGTTAGATTGAGATTATTCCCCACCAGCTTTTGCCATTTTGCCATAGTTGCTGCTTCTTTTTCGATCCTGATGTTTATCTCTTCATCAACGGAGAAAGAACTAGAAATATTGGATCCAAGGTATGCGAAATGCTCAACAACTGACAGGTTATGGCCCTCAATAGATATGATTGGAGGGGACGGTGCTTCTTGCATCATGACATGTGTTTTCTGTATACTAATTGACAGTCCAAATTCTTTACATGCATGTGATAGACGATTAACTAGCTGCTGAAGACCTTATTCAGTGTAACATGTTACATGTTAAGGCGGCATTATCAGTGAACAGCAGTTCACGAATTAGTATTTTTATTACCTTCGCCTTTGCATGAAGGCGGGCGATATTGAACCACCTACCATCAGATCTGGTAAGGTTGTACACTCTACCTTCACAGTCCCTGAAGGCAAATTGCAGGAGCATCGAGAAGAAAATGGAGAAGAGCGTTGTTATCAGTACACAACCCTGTTTTACTCCACTGCTGAATGGGAATGCCTCAGAAACAGCACCATTGAAGGTTACTCTGTTGTGCATGTTTTTGTGAAATGACTGTATGATTGTGAGAGTCGTGGGGAACAACCTATTCTTTGCAAAATACTGACCAGGCCTCTCTGACTTATCAAGTCGAATGCCTTTGCCAGATCTTTGAAAGCAATATAAAGAGGCATATGCTGTTCACGACACTTCTCATTTGGCGTAACGAGAATATTATGTCTATAGTTGAGCGTCCACTCTAGGAGCCACACTGGGACTCTGGGTAAATGCGGTTTGCCAGAATGCAATCCTTTAAGGGCAACACTGGCAAAAGTATTTCCAACTAAGCCAAGGAGAGAAATTCCTCAGTAGCTATGTTATGACAATCTTATGATGTGGGCATCTCATATGTCCTGGGGAATGTGACCTGTTTCCCAACACAGACAGAAGCTCATGTAAGGGCTAAAGAAGTATTTTTTCCATTTTTGAGGACTTCCTTTGGAATACCGCCAATCCCTGGTGCCTTCCCATCAGCAAGGTAATCAAGTAGCTCTAGAAAACATGCTGTTAAATAACTGTTTTCAAGTTATGACAACATTTATCACAATTTATTTAAAAGCAAAGTGACACCATGATATATTGAAAAAAAGGGTGTTTTATTACTTTTATATAGGGAAGGTCATGGAAATTAAAACATATTAAAACTAGATTTTACAGAATTGTAATTAACAACATAGTGTCATAATTTGATGCCATAGTTGAAATTGTTACTCAAGCTGTAAGAGAACAAAAAAGAAAACTAAAAATCACTATTTCTCTTACTCTTGGTATATTGTTTCAATTGGTAACCTAACAGAAATCCATTTGAAATCCCATTAGAGGTCAGGTCCCATGCCAATGGGCCACGAAACCTGTGCTCGAACTTAGTAACTAACTTATACAACAAGGTTGTTTATAATCATAGTTTATGTGAGTTTGACCCATATTATTTTTCTCAATCATAATTCTTAGTTAACTCTTAATAAGACTATACATACTCATATATTATTTATATAGCGCTATGGATCATACATTTTTTTACTTTAATATTTATTTTATTGCTTTTTATTTGAAACAATCCCTTGTTTATGTTAATATTAAGTAGTTAGAAGCTTGTAAATCTGAAACCAGACATTTGGCTTGCACTCTTGTATAGTTGAGTAATAGTAATACTGTATAGGATACTGTATAGTTTAATTCATCTTATACTTATTCAGTTAAAAATATATGATATTTTATTATAAAATCATTTTATTTTTATAATTTAAAATAAATTTTTAAATTAAAATAAAGGATTTCCGGGGATAACCAGTTTTCCAGGGATCAAAAGCAAAGCTCAGGGAAATAAGCAACCCTAGTTAAAACTGAAAGTGAAACTAACTTGTCAGTACAGTCAGTAGTAAGCCCAAAGTAAAGGAAATTGCATCACTATTTATAGCGTATTTGTTTACATTTCTAAGAAAAAATCTCTTTTGGCCTTATTTAGTGATTAACTATTAGTTACAGTTTAAAAGAGTTTACCTATTCCTTTAGTCTAGGTTATTTTCAAAATTATAACTAATTTAAAAGTAAATCTTAATTAAAACATAAAAATAATTTGTTTAACTGACCGGTCTGGTGGGGGCATTACTCTTTTAACGTAATTATGAGTTCGCCTAAAAAAATTTGTTACAATTCCAGCCATACGGAAACAGGAAGTTGGATGGAAATTATTAAAATTATTCGCAATTTTCAATATTATTTATTAATGCATAATCCTATAGAATGATTTAATTTTCAAAATGAGTTCACTTTGACGAGTTGAGATAGGGTTTATCTCAGCCATCTCCCCAGGACGTTATTAATTAGAATGTTTTCTTACAACGGTCAAAAATATTATTTTCATGTACACCTGTGTACATGCCCGGCGACCAGACAAATAGTGCGGGAGATATTCATCCGGTGGCATGTCGCGCTTTATTTAACATTGTTACTTTTAAACCATTTGTTTATTATAATATATGTGAAAACATGAAATTAAATTGAAGTTAATAGTAAGTTTAAAATACTTTTACTAATAAGTGAAGATAAAAAAATAATAATATAAAAAGTATGTTTACAGTCAATGAATGACTATCATGTAATTGAATATAAAACAAACAAAAACAAATTATAAATAGTTTAAGAGCTTTGTAATATACTGTAACATATATTTTGAAAGAAAAAAATTCAAACAATAGTAAGATAGCTATTTCAACTCTAACCCTAATATTAAAATTATTAAACAAGGAAAAAGATAAAAGACATAAAGGAAAGATGACCAATTTGTCACTCATTAAAATAATCCCCTATGCTATGGAGACATTTATTCATTTTAAGCAGCCTTTACAAAACCATGTTGTGCTCCTTGGCTCATACTTTAACCCGATACACTTCATATCATACCAATTTAAACATGCTACATGGTCGCTGAACGAATATCTCGAGAACTTATTCATCCGGTCGCCGGACATATAGTCACTTCGCCTATTACTATTTTTGGTCTACGTGAGCAGGGTTTCTTTCAGCTATATGTCCTGGGGGGTGGGGTGGGGGTGGGGGGGAAGCAAAGTGCCCCCTGGAACAAAAATAGTCCAATAATAAATCAACTGGCACCGTCCCCCCCCCCCCGGGAAAATTTCTGAAATAATCACTGTATGTGAATCCAGGGATGAAACTACTCTGGAGTTAAAAGTAAAAGCATACTCAGATACTCCAGCGGCACCACAACCAGATTAATTTTTTTATGGCCAAGTGGGGTGGGCGTGGAGTTATATCTGTGGTCGCAAAATTACGGAAATTTACGTGTATCTTGCCAAGCTCAGCCGCCGCTGACGTGGACGTTATGTTTTTACTGAATTAAAATATAGGCGCGCAGTACTGCGTTATGTTTTTCAACCGATCATTGCATTCCAAAACTTTATTCGCTGCTTAGTGTTTCTACTTCCGATTCGTCAATGATGTGATATAACGCCATCTAGTGGTGGAGTTTTTAAATGGTTTGCTGCTTGTTTAATGAGGTCACATGGGCTCAACCAAAGACAGTTCAGAGACGTGTTGAAAGATACAGACACAGAATCGCAAGATTTACCATATTACACAGCATTAAAATGACTCAGTTGTGAGCAAGTTCTAAGCAGAGTATTTAAGATACTCCGAAGTTTCCATGGCTGAACGACTCTAAGCCGGAAAATTCACATCGCCAAGCTCGCGGCGGTGTCACACGGATCCTACCTCTGCGCGGGGTGGGAGATTAGTAGGGAGTTAAACTCCTGAAGCCAAAGGATCCACGCAAAACGCATGACTTCCCACGCAATGGAAGTTGCGCGCTAACATGATTACGTGTCGCCGATAATGGATATGAGGCTTAGGTATTTCAAAACCTTTTCTGAGGATTAAAAACATGCGGCCTTGAGAAAGCCGCTCCTAGGTGACCGTTTCGTCCCAACATAGTCCCGCCCGAACTACTACCGGAACGGTGGGGTGAGGTAACGCAATACCTTCCCCGGAGAGGAAGCAAAGCCGTTTTGACCCACGTCCACACAACTCCCAGGAACGGTGGGATAAAGTTAAGCTCGAGACTACTCCTGGAGAGGAGGTAAAGCTGTGCAACGCCAAGGAACGTACGGCTCCCTGGACGGTGGGGTGAGGTAATGCAACACCATCCCCGGAGAAAAAGCAAAGCCATTCTAAACCAACGTCCAGACCGCATGACTCATTGGGCAAGGGGGGTGGTGACACAAAACTGTTCCCTGATGAGTGGAAGCAAACTGCCCAACCCCCCCCCCCCCCCCCCCCCACACTCGAGACCATGTTGCATGTACGGAGTCCTTAGAGACTACTAGGCCATGTTCCATGGCCGGGGTCCTAAGAGATTGACTCTCGACCTCCTAAGAGTATTGAACATTTCAGTATTTCAGATAAGAAAGGAAATGTGACTTCCTGAAAAGTAAAGGCAAGCCACAGCCATTAATGTCTGATGAAGAGTGGGTATGGAAATTGGCCTTTGCTGCAGACATAACTAGTCATTTAAATTTTCTGTACCTAAAACTAAAAGGAGATGAAAATCTACTTTCTGTTCTTGAGATATAAACTCATCTTGCTTTTGAAACAAGCACAGGCCAACACCTCGACGCACTTTCAGCAGTGCAAGCTCTTTATGGCTGAAGCAACAGCGGAGTTCCCCAATTCATTTGCATGCGAGATCATCAAAGACCTCCAGCTGAAGTTTCAGCAACGGTTTTCTGAATTGGGTTCAAAGGCAGAAGAAGTGAGACTGTTTCAAAACCCATTTGAAGCAGATGTGGCCAGTTGCCCAGATGAACTGCAGCTGGAGGTCATTGAGTTACCAGCCAATGACCTACTTAGGGACAAGTTCAAGGAAGGACTAGTGGGTTTTTCCCAGATTTTGCCCATGGAGGACTTTCTTATGTCAACACTTTTGCATCAAGGTACCTTTCAATCTTTGGAACAACACAACTGTGTGAGCAAACATTTTCAAGAATGAAATACGTGAAGACTGAAGAACAATTTGAGAACAAACTTGTCCGATGATAATCTCAGGTCACTGTTGATGTTAGGGACATCAAATCTAAAGCCAGAAATGTCTGCTATTTTGGTATACGGGAAACAATTTCACCATTTCTACTAATACAGGTTTTCATGTGTTGTGTATCAATGTGTTATTAAATAATAACTGAATCAAATAAAATTAAATAAATAATTAAAAATAACATCCATGTTTTGTTTCTAATTTAATATTTGGACCTAGAGTATGTAGTCGGCCCCGAACTGCTGTTTGATAATTAATGCGGAACTCGGGCTGAAAAGTTTGGAGACCCCTTTAATAAATAATGTCATAATTCTTACTAAGCAAAAACCTCTCAAGGGAAAAAAGAAGACAATTTATATCACTATCCAGGAGCTTAACTGGGTTTTTGACATCCTTGGCTAATTTACTTTTGGCGCCCTTTTTGTTTAAATAAAAATGTAACAATTAGAGATTTAGCGGCGCCCCTTTAACTGGCACAGGCCGGCGCCCTTGCCTACTGCCCCAATGCCAAGCCGTTGTTACACCACTGTCACTATCATAAGACCAGTAATAAGTTACGCTATGGAGACTTGGAACCTTACTAGAAAAGCAGAGAACTTTTTCAATACATGGGAGAGGAAAATCCTCAGAAAAATATACGGCCCAGTGATGGAAAATGATGTCTGGAGAATCCGTACAAGTCTAGAGCTATACCAATTCTACATAGTCGCAAAATTAAAAAAAAAAAGCCAGGCTGCGCTGGGCAGGACATAAATGTAGAGCAGCAAAAATGATATACAGCCAGAAACCTAAGGGCAGACGACTCACTGGTCCCCCAAGGCTGAGATGGATCGACGATGTAGAGAAGGATTTACACCAGTTTGGAGGCGGAAAGCCATGGATTGTTCCGAATGGAAGGATGTGGTGGGCCTGCCCCTGCATGGGCTGTAGCGCCACTGATGATGATGAAATAATTCTTACACAAAACAATTTTCCAAATCGACTTAAGCGTGTTTTCACTTTCATGTAAGTTCTGTTTTAACTCACATTTACAAATTAATGCAGGACTTAATATTTTAAAATTAAAAAAAAATAATAATAAAAAATAAAAATTGGCATATCCACACACAAACCCAGTGATTCTCAACAATGTATTAACCTGATACAATTAATTCATTTTTTTTTTTCATTTTGTAATTTGGTGATCAAGCTTTTCAGGCCTAATTTTGTTCTCTCTATACTTTGATTGCATCTGATTAATTTCACAGTCAATTTTTATGATTTCACACACCAAGAATAATAGAAATTGGAGACGACAAAGTCTATCTTTTCTTCCCGAAACAAATACACATGTATTTTATAAATGTTAACGATATAAGCATAAAGTTTATTAGCAACCACTTTTTAAAATGCAAAATACCCAAAAAGTAGACCCTACCGATAATTTTAGTGTCCCCGGATATTCCCATGGTCTCGAGGTATAATGTACCGCTCACTTTCAGAACAACTGCTCTAACATTTTAACAAGCGAAACCATTTGTAAACTATCATAATATGTTTAGTCTAATGCCTTAAGCTATATATTTGCCATGTGAATAAAATGGTTTCCTTACTTACAGTACACACGAACGCACGCATTCATACACACTCACACACACGCACACGCAACCACAGACACGAAGCAAACAAAACACACACTCAAGAACACTCAGACATAGGAGAAGGTGATCGAGCATTTTTAGACCACATAATCGTGATAGACGTAAAATATTGGTCGATATGCGCGGCGCACAACGCACTCGATGGCCTCCCCTCTCCCTCGACTTCAGCATGATCGTAAGTTAGCCAGCAAATTTTGTCCTCGACAGATTGACAGAATAATTTAGAGATTTTACGATCACTCTCTTTTTGAATACCCACACGCAACTTGCGACCCCCCCCCCCCAAAAAAAACCAAAACAACAACAAACACACAAAAAAAAACAAGCAAAAAACAACAACAAAACAATAAAAAAACAAATAAAACTAGCCAAGACGTTGTTGTAACAGATTACTGTGCAGTAATTGGATAGAAAGAATTACCCTTTAATGCTATAAAAACGAAACAAGCTTTCAAAGGATTTCACTCACGTCCTTCTCTAAGATTCTTTTAAGC